GAAATTTTGACTTGTTAATTTCTGTGTTTGAAATCCTCTATCTAAAAAAAAAAAAAAAAGGAATGTCTAATAGTGTATGGCTTTCTTCCACTTGGGGTATTTATTTAATCCATTCTATGGCTTGTTCCATGCCTGGAAACTTTTGACATCCTGTTCTCAGACTTAAACTCACCCCTTCAGTGTGTGGGTTTAGGGGGAGAAGTGAAGGTTGACACATTTGTGTCAATGACATAGTCTATTTACCACCCAATGGCGTATTTTGATATAAGCCAAGTATTTCTCTCCCCAACTGTGAGAAATACTAATCCACTCTATCCTTCTTACACTATGATACCTTTTCTTTGTCCTCACTGAAAGTTTCTAGTAGCGTATCTCCAAATCATTATGGAATTTGAAATCCTCAGCCAGACAAGTCTTCACTGTGGTTGAATTGAGACAATGTCTGTGTTCCTAAAAAATAAATAAATACATAAATCAAACCAAGTCAGATTAGACAAAACAGTTGAAAGTTTAAAAGTCCGTGGCCTCCTCTAGGCCAGTGGAGACAAAGTCTCTAAATGGGAGCAGGGCCAGGTAATGCAGGGGAGAGAGGCACGCATGGCCTCAGGGTCAGGGAGACCTGGAGGAGCGGTGGAGACAGTGGAGAGCCAGGGAACAGGTGCCACCTCCCAAGAGGCAGCCTTTACTCAGCTCTGGCTGATTGGTTGGGGTAGGGATGTGGGTGCAGGCATATCAGACCTTTAGATTTTTTCAAGAAAAGCCAGAAATCTGGATTTTATTTCTTTAAGCGATGACATCTCACTATGTTGCCTGGGCTGGTCTTGAATTCCTGAGCTCAAGCGATCCTCCCATCTCGGCCTCTGAAAGTGCTGGTATGATAAGTGTGAGCCACCATGCCCGGCTTGGATTTTGTTTTTTATGTTAAATATCTCAATTTTTTTTCCAGCATTGGCTGACTTCACATTTACGGCCAGCACTTGCAGGCCAAACCAACCATGTCTCCAGGCCAAATTCCAGCTGCCAGCATGCCGCCTCTGATCTCATTCTCTTATAGACGCATTCCTTGAGCCTGGAAGTTGTCGTTTAACTCTTGCCATACATGAACTTTGGAAATCTATTAGGCCCTAACTGTTGGTGATTTTGTAACTGTTTTTATCCTTATTTTGCCAGGAGAATATTATTTTCTGGCCACCAGGAAACCTCAGATGATGTCCTTGTGACTAGATGTTTGACTCTATATAGATCAGTTTCTTTTTTGCACCTGAGGGTCTTTTAGACAAGGGATTGGACTAAATGATTATCTCAAGGTTCTTTTTACCCTAAAATTTTAAAATCTAGAAAGCAGTCCTAGTGAAAAGAATGCGAACAGGAAACAGAAGACTTGGGTTCTTGTCCTGGCTTTGTGTGACTTTGGTCCGGTCACATACTTCCCTGACCCTGTTTGTTCATCCATTTAAAAGAATGGAGGCAACACCTAGCTGGTGGGTGCTCGGAAATCAGATTAGAAGTGCTGCTGAGGGCTTTTGCTTCACCATATGGAATGGAAGATGGGTGGTATTAGGGTGCTTGGAAGGGTGTGATGGGGGGATCACCTGGAAGCACAGCCAATTAGCCAAAAATACTTGCAAAAATTTCTTGCTAACCCCCAGGATTCTCCTAAGATAAAACTGTTTACTTTGGAAATTGTCCCTAAAGTCCTCACTACTGCCTGACGTGGACAAGGTTGGCCCATAAAAACAGAGTGAACTGGCAAGGACCAGAGTCCACATATATTAACTCCAGGGCTCAAGATTTTAAAGAACAAAACTGATAATACACCTTTCATTGTATTTTACTCCTGGTATAAAGAAGAAGCATTAGAATACTATATGGCAGTACTAAAGCTTAATGATGATTCTACACATAATTGGCTAAAGATTTTTCACAGGTCACCACGACCTGGAACTGGAATAAATCATTATCGGTGGAAGTTGAGACTTAGTATAACCAGAAAAGAGGCTTACCAAAAGTTACAGCAGGTGTGGCCTATAAAATACCAAGATTGGATTAGACTCTCCCGTTCTGTGTTAGAGCTGTTTTTTGAAGCCCCATAAAAAGTGCTGTATACATGATGATAGTAAGTCCTCACTGTAAAATGTCTTAAGCATCAGACTTTTGCTTCTGACAAAATTTGCGAGACACGGCAGTTCTTATTCAAACCCATAAGGTCCTCACTCCTTGAAAGGGGCACTAGCAGGTACACATTTGCTGAACTGTGTACCAGTGCCAGCATTTGGAGCCACTGTGTATTGCTGGCGAGTTTTTCAGGACATGATCATACACAGGGTATTTGAATGTGGTTCTACTCAGGACTTCCTGAAAAGGAAAATAAGAAAGTCTTCCCAATCAAATGTATCTTTAAGCATTGGGGTATCCTTTTAAGGCTTTTGAGGGATACTGAAAATGCTCTACAGAATTTCATCAACTTTGCCCTACATTGGGAAACTGTTGTTTTCCTCATTTCCAATTTGGTAAAGATTTTAGGTAATGATTTTTAGACTGTGTGGCATCTGTAGAATAAAGGGTTATCCTCTTCTCAGTTTTTGCCCACAGGTGATAAAGAGATGGATGAAAAATGTTCCTGGTCAGGTGCGGTGGCTCATGCCTCTAATCCCAGTATTTTGGGAGGCCAAGTCAGGAGAATCGCTTGAATCCAGGAGTTCGAGACCAGCCTGGGCAACATGGTGAAACCTGGTCTCTACTAAAAATATAAAAATTAGCTGGGCGTGGTAGCTCGTGTCTATATTCCCAGCTACTCAGAGGGCTGAGGTGGGGGGATTGCTTGAACCCAGGAGATCAAGGCTGCAGTGAGCCGAAATCTCATCAATGCTCTCCAGCCTTGGTAACAGAGTGAGACGCTGTCTCAAAAAGAAAAAAAAGAAAAGAAAAATATTCTTCTGTTAAATGTGCAGGCCTATGCACTGCTTTAAAATTTTTGAATCAACAAAGATAGTATCTTTGGGTCCCTTTTACCCTAGGATCCCTCTTACTCTGGCAGTTTTGAGGGCAGCCCCTAGTCTGGCCCCCTGGTCCCAATCCCAACTCCAGCCCCACTGTGACTGGCTGGTGACCTCCAAGCCTCAAGGTTGCTGTGAGGACGAAACACAATAATAATTCATATGCAAAGTGCCTCACACAGCCCAGGCACTAAATAAATGTGCACAGTTAGAAACTGACGGAAAAAGAGAAAAAGGAATCGTTCTTATTTTTTCTCATAGATTTTCCCAATGTGCTTCTCTTTCCTGGTCTTATCATATAGGATTTTCATAGAGCTGTGTAAGTTGGCCTTTGCATTGGTTTTTCAGTGATGAGGTTTTTTTTTTTTTTCATTTCTTTAAATCTTTTGAGAGGGCTGGTTAGATTAAGCAGCATTTGAAATTATATGTATTATATTTTGTGTATTTTTACATATTTTGTTTTCTAAGGTTATAATTATTTTTAAATGTGGAACATATAGAAAACAATATAAAATTAAAATCTTCTATAATCTCCCTCACCTAAAGATAACCACTATACCATTTTGCATACATCCTTGCAAACTTATTTCTACATCAATGGAGTTTTCTTTAAAGAAAAAAAAAAAAAAGGCAGGTGAGATGGTGATATGGTTTGGATCTGTGTCCCCACCAAATCTCATGTTCAGTTGTCATCCCCAGTGTTGGCAGTGGGGCCTGGCGGGGAGGTGGTTGTATCTTGGGGGTGGATTTCTCATGAATAGCTTAGCCCCATCCTCTTGATGCTGTTCTCATGACAGTAAGTCTCATGAGATCTGGTTGTTTAAAAAGTGTAAAGCGCCTCTCCTGCCCTTGCTCCCACTCCCACCATGTGAGATGCCTCGCTCCTCCTTTGCCTTCCACCATTATTGGAAGCTTTCTGAGGCCTCCCAGAAGCAGAAGCCGCTGTGCTTCCTGTACAGCCTACAGAACCGTGAGCCAATTAAACCTCTTTTCTTTATAAATTACTCAATTTCAAGTATTTCTTTATAGCAATGGGAGAATGGACCGATACAGATGGGGAATCCTGTTGTCCACACCGTTTCATAATCTGCTTCTTCATCTAACACATCGTGACTGCTTTTCTACAGTGATCAAAATTCCGTAGGATAACATTTAATGACCGCATAATATTGCACTTCTATAACAGTACCAGAGTTATTTAATCAAGATCCTATTTGTGGTCATTTAAGTTCTGTTTTCTGAGACTTTTTTAAAAAAACACTGCTATAACCAAATCTTTGTACATACAAAAAATAGTTATTTCCTAAAGATAATTTCCTTGAAGTTGGATGGTATAACCCAAGGGTATCGTAGAAATCTAAGTGGTTTTTTTGTTTGTTTGTTTGTTTTTGAGACAGGGTCTCGCTCTGACATTCAAGCTGGGGTGCAGTAGCATAATCAAAGCTCACTGAAGCCTCAACTTCCTGGGCTCAGGTGATCTTCTCACCCCAGCCTTTTGAGTTGGAATTACAGGCACGCATCATCATGCTTGGCTGATTTTTGTACTTTTTGTAAAAACAGGGTTTCACCACATTGCCCAGGCTGGTCTCGAACTCCTGAGCTCAAGTGATTCTGCCTCAGCCTCCTGAAGTGGCGGGATTACAGACATGAGCCACCACACTCAGCCAGAGAAATCAAAGCTTTTTCATAGTAGAACCAAATTGTTTTCTCCCTTAGAATCATTTACAGTTGAGTGTCCATTTCTTCCCAGCAGCACCGACACTGGGTGTTAGTGTTCGGTGTTCTTAATGCTGCAGCCTGCTTTTCCTCCCTGGTGCAGTGTCAGGCCGGAATTGGCCGCTGCTGACCTATCCACTAACTTTACATCATACTCACTCTTGCCTTGGAGTTCCAGGCCCTCTCTTTCCCACAACCCATCTGCCTAGCCAATTCTTGCCTCTGCTCACCCCTCTCTTTCTGAAACTCTGAGTCTAGTGGTGGAGACAGATGTGCCAATGGGGCAGAGCCTTTCTGAAGTACTAGGAGCTAGGAGTCTGAAGACCTCACTGCCGTGGTGGCACCAGCTGCATGCTGAAGGATGCACAGCGGTTTGCCCATGAAGAAAGAAGGGGTGGAAGCTCATAAGGGGCCTGCGTGGGAGGCCAGCAGAGTTGTTTGTGAAGGATGTTGCCTGCCTTGCTTATAGGTGGCCCGAGCTAGGCGCCCATGCTCATGCATTTTATAAGTTCGGGGACAGAAACTCCAGTGTGGACTAATTACATATACAGTGTCTTTTTCACTACAACCTCTTGCCTATTCTGTGCCCATCTGAGGAACAGTGATCCCTCTTCCCATTCTAGACTCAAGGAGTGGCTTTTGCAGGGATGCCGGTGGTACCAGAGCCCTCTTATTAGGGTTGCTAAGTCAAATACAGAATGCCCAGTTATGAATTTCAGATAAACAACAAATAACTTG